ATGGACCATACTGGACAATGATACTAGACATGTTAAACGAAAGCAATCCGCAAACAGAGGATGTACCAAATCAAAAAGCAAATTTGTATTGAAATTGAATCATATTTTTTTGGGTAAAATCATAAATTACAAAAGGTTATACAACTGATGTTTTTCAAAGGTTGAAATGTCGCAATAAGATCTTCATTTTTCCCACGTTTTTTAGGTAATATTTTCCTCACACATATAGATAGCCTATAGACTATAGTGAAGAAGGACAAAACATGATTTAAAGTTAAAAATTAAAGTCTACCTGTTTATTCGTTAGGTTTCATTCAAAAAATTTTAGTGCACTACTTTTCTCAGTTTGCTTTTTGTAAGTTGTTTGATCAGTTTTGGAAAAATGGACCCATAATTCTAATGTAACCATCAAGCAGTGATGGTAAAAGGAACAGTTTACCATACCAAAGACATAAGTTATACCATTTCATCATAGTCTATCTCAACTCCTAGGTTAAGCAATCTAAGCTTTTATATTAAAATTTAAATTTAAATTTTGATCAGTCTAAACAGCTTAGGAGCCGAATTGAAAAACAAAACTAGTTTGATTTAGCATAACTTCGAATCAAATTCAGCTGTCTGCAAAGACATTATATAAAGTTGATGGACAGTTTTATTAAAAAAGGAAATTTCAAACACCTAATATATCAACTAGATCATCCGTTCAACCAAGCACCTAATATTTTCCGCTTTAAACCGCTTCTTTCTAACCGTTTTCTCGCAAAATTCAAAAATCTTCTAACCATCTTGCCAAGAGTTACCAATCAAACTCAACTACTTCAAAGACTCTAAACAACCAAAATAGCTATGAGGGGGTCACTCGAACGCCAACACCAAATGCCAATATTATGCAATTTAGAATCCAACAAACCGACAAACCAAAGGATTCTTTAGCTTAATGATTGAATTTACAACTTATCAACTTACCCCTCCCCAACTCTCTCAAGAGATAAAGAATCATATGAACATATTCCCACGGAAAATGGATTCACAAACTTTGTACCATCTTAGTCATGAACTATAGCCCTGAATATCCGGAATAGTTCAAACGAATCGATTCTGGCCAAAAACCAACCCATGTATAACATCTCTAGTCTTTAAAGTTTCAGAAGATTCTCAAGCCTATTATTATCCCTGCACATGCAAAGGCTACTCAAGCATAATACTAAGTAAAATCAATGATTCATTTAATCCAGAACACTATCACCTAAAAGTGAAGACATCATTGATTCTTCCACTGTTCGATACATATAAACTACTTTGACAACTTCACTTCATCTACCATAAGCTATATACAAACTCCACTTATTCCAAGTCCTACAACTTCCACTGATTCAAACTTTCTCCACTTAAGAAGGAGCAAGTGAAAGCAAGAAGGATACCACATTCCCTAGCTAAGAAGAAGCGATCAAATCAATGCTTCATTCAATCCAAGACACTAACGCCTAACTCAAAGACATCCCCACATCTTCCATGGTTCAAAACAGATGACCTCCCTTGATGACATCTGCAGTTCCAGAACTATCCACCATAAGCTATACACAACCCCCACAAACCAGGAGGAATCCTACAACTTCAAATGACTCAACTTCCTCCAGGTAAGAACAAGTAAGTTCACCAACATAAGAACACAATTTCCTGATATGACCAACATTTTATTACATAACAGAACAATAAATCCACTGTCCAAATCATGAAAATCACAAAGCAGAACCCTAAACTTTTCCTAAGAAATCCTAAAAGCAAATCAAACCAATAACAAGAGCAGAAACGAGCCAAACAACCAACACCACGAGAGCTTGAAAAGAGAACACATGGTTATTACCAATTCATATCCTCTCAACCTTATCCGCCTTCACCACCGGATTCGCCTTAGCAATGGCGTCTCTCGCCGCTGCTTTGAAATCGAATTCACAGTCGTGACTCTCCGGATACCTATGAGCTCCACAAAAAGTACTCCCACACTTGCATCTGAAACCCGTCACACCAACTTTCTTATTACAGCTCAAGCATCTCGTACTCCCCGTCGATTTCGGCGGATCTACCCCCGAATTGCCGCCGCTCGGTGATGAAGACGATCCAGATTCGACATTAGGAGCGATTACACGGCTCTGTTGCGGTTGGATTTGGGGTTTATTAGGGTTTAGCGATTTCTCAACGGCGGCTTTAGCCGCCTCGGCTTGTTCCTCCGTGGCTCTAATGTCTCGATAGCATTTAGAGCAATAGTTCATGTTCGATGGAGTTCCAAAGAAGCCACAGCCTTTGACGCAGAGCTTTGGCTCTGAAGGAGAGAAGCTAGTGCCATCGTTTTGGTCTGAACCCATGATCGAAAATCTCCCAATTCCAAAATTGAACCTTTACTGCAATTGCAAAAACAAAAAACGAACACAGAAAACGTGAATAGAAGAACAGATTCAGAAACGATTTTGTTTTCAATTAGGGTTCGTGTATATTTTGTTTTAATGTTTCTTTTGATTCCCTTTAATAGAGAAAATAAAGGAAATTGAGGATATCGATATATTTAAGAAATGGAAAAGATTTCTGGCTTGTTACTCAAGCGAAGAAGACTAAATAAATAAAGTATCTTCGTTATGACGAAAACGCCCATGGGACTCCTTATAAAATTCTCAAGACCAGGTCAGAATGTAATTAAAAAGACTATTTTACCCTCGCGACACCAAACAAAATAGAGATAAGTCTTCATCTTTGAGTTCTTTAATCTCTACCGTCAAAACTTAATCGAATGGTTGAAAATAGATTAAGGAATTAAAAGGAAGACGACGAAATCAGACCGGAACTGAAAATCCGACCAGAACGAAACCAAAAAGATATTTACCTAATTCCGACCAAAACCCCAGCCGCCGGAGTAAATATTCCGATATCTCTGCTTTCGTTTCCGGTGCAAAGAAAATCTCTCACTGTATTTATCGCTGGAAATTTCCGACAGGAGTTCGTGATTTGGTCGATGGCCGAGACCGTAACCGAAACCTCTTTGTTTCCGCCACGGAGAGATTAGACAGACAGAACATAAACCAAACCGAAGAGACGAGACGTTTTGGTACTTTACGCTTGTCTTTGTAATTCTTGTGGTCACAATGATTTAATCGTATGCGGTACGGCGCACGGGAGATTTTGTGCGTATACTGATGATATTCGTTCGATGCAAAAGACGGAGAGTAATGACGTCACTTATTTGTAATCGAACGGTACATAGTGGATTGGAACTTTCTATGTGATAAAGTGGAAATAGTAGGTGGGGTTGTCGATTTTTTCGGTGTTTGTGGATTACGATAAAGTTGGTTTCGGTTCGTGAGGATAACCGGTTTTGGTTTGTGGGGATAGCTTCGCTGGTTGACGGTGACGTAACGGCGATAAAGAAATTAAAAAAAAAAAGTGGCGCGTGTAGATACTGCCGGTACGTAAATCAGATTCCTAAGGTTAATTTTTTTTTTTTTCCATCTCGAAGATTTTTTTGTTTTTCC